TACGCGTGCATGAGGTGGTGATTGTCGAAGTATGGATGTCTGCTAGTAGCCCGTGGTTCAATTGTTGGCCTACTATCTTTGTTTCCGATTTCCATACAATGACGATATCTGTACATAGGTTCTTAATCGACATTGATAAACAATCAAGTTTCATCATCATCATCATCATCATCATCATCATCATCATCATCATCATCATCATCATCATCATCATCATCAACAACAACAACAACAACAACATTAGTCCATTTTCTGGCCAAATATTGAGATCGAATTTTTTCTATTCGTTTTATTTTGATCCCAGTTGCTGCCGCTGTAATTTTGAAACGAGTTCGGATTTTTCCTTTAAAGTAGTTCTCGACGGGGTGGCGCATTTTTTCGGAAATCTTTAACAAAATTTATATATGCATGCTACGGGTAATGATTGAATACCTATTGCTAAAATTCAATTGATCGGATTTTGTAACACCTGTCAAGACACAAACATTGAGGACAATATATCTACGTTCAAACATCAAAGACAACATATATGTACGTAACAGATGATTCTAACACTACTGTGGAAGGTGGCAAACTTTGAAGACGATAAACAAAGGCATGATTATAGCTTCAATTGTAGTAAAGGTAAATGAGGACCAAGATTAGTGAAAAACACATTTTGGAACCGACACGGTTCAAATGCTGGCAATATACATAGGTTGGAACTCTAAAACTAATGACAATATATAAATATGTTCACAAATGGAGATTAATACTGATAAGGATATACATAAGTGAGAACTCTTTAACTAATGACCAAAACCATCAAAGAAAATGCCGACATGTAGGCATATTCCTAACCCAACCTATAAAAGCAGGGCAAAATACAAACAAAAGATTTACACGGACATTCTTGAAAACGTGGTAGGAAAATATGACTAGCTATTCCGCAAGAGTGACCGTCTTCTGTTACTTGGTCAATGGTCAATCCAAGTACGTAATGTCACGTTCGTAATGAAAACGCGATAAATAACAACGGAGCCACCAGACATGCTAACTAGCATTATACAAGTCCACCTTTATACTGGTTAAAGGAAATAGAATATTTCAATATTTCCTAATTATATCGTTATGACAACCGTAAAAATTCCCATAAGTTAAAAGGTTACAAGGACCTTGTGCGAAAATCGCTATATTGATAATATAGTCAAGAATATCGAATCAATAGCGACATAGGTTGTGGAAGTAGGAATGTTGCTCTCCAGAAATGGAAAATTTAGAATAGGGTTATTTATATATATGTATATATAAGTGAGGACTATACTACAAAAGATGTTTATATGTAGTGATAATAAATCAACACATTCATATAAAGCAAGATATACATAAAAATTAAATAAAAACATGTGAATGATGGGTCTCATAACCAACTTTTGCTTTTCTTTGTCAAACCCAGGATTTATTCATTTTATTACATAAAGCTTCAATCAACGTACGCAAAGATTCAAATACAGTGGTTGATGATAGTCTTGACAGATTCTGATTTCGCATTTGATAAATAGACATTGGAATTAATGGCATATTTCATAATATTAAGACTCGGTAAAATGCTTCTTGCTAACATCGCTATCGTATATTTCAATTAACCATTTCATAAAACTCACAGTGAATAATATCTTTGGTGTTTTAGGGAAGTTTGAGGGATTTTGCTATATCACTGAAAATTGCTTTTTTCATACGAGATAAAACTGTTGTGATCGAGACGTTATATGTGTTCGTTGTTCGTTTATATGCCTAATTATTTCATTTATGTTAATCTTGTTCTTGTTATAGATTCATGAATTTTATAAATTCATTTGCATCCAGGCACACACTAATCTGTGAAACAAAAAGTAATATAGTGAGACCGTGTTGTACAGATCATTCCGGAAAGTTATATTCTCGTTGAGAGAATATGTGGTCATTGACTTAAAATATAAGCTGTTTTTTGGCGAGGGTGAAGAAAAGTGGCGAGTCTCTGGTAAGCCACTTATGTCTTTCTGTGCCGAGCCAAAATGCAGCATACATTCTAAGACACTGACCATGTATTCTATTCTTCATCCGACATTGATTGAAGATCAGATTATTGAAATTTAAACAGTGATGACGCATGCCAAAATAATTGTTCCGCGCAGGAAAATGGTTTCAATAGATATAACAATAACAGCGATTTTAGGAATTTTCATAAATCAACTTGTTCATTACAATAAGTATTGTAAAAATTATTCATATTTCTAAAACATGATATTGAAAAAATCAGAAAGCAACAATTTACACCAAATATATTAATTACGTGTATTCCGACATTGGGCAAGCCAGCTGTAGGATAAAGAATTATAGTTTCACCATTCGGCTGAATCATCCAAAGCCAGCCATTATGTTCTATGTTGTCTTGAGGACCCTCTACTGAGGAAAATGTTCAGCCTAGTGAGCCTATTTACATGATATATAGTTAATAAATCTTTGAATAATATAAAGCGACAAAAATTGATTGACTATGATTTTCATGGCGAAAGATTAATTTTGGCTGACTTCTTGCACAAACAGGCACTTGACTATAAAAGACCTTAAAATTCAAACTCAAAGTTCATAAAGCAAGGGCAAAATATGAACAAAAGAAGATTTACACGGAGACTCCTGAATAGCAGTACAAGGAGAATAAGACCAGGTGGTCCGGAAGAGTAAGCCATCTTCTGTGCTTCATCGACGACACCCGCCATGTAAAAGGAGAAAATCCGTTTTCCTGAAAAGACCTAGTAAATATATGTTCCGAGTAAGGCCAGGTTTAATTAAGAAAGAACAATACCTCCGCGGAAGCAAGCAAACAAACAAAAATAAAAATTCAAATCCGTAACATTATAAAATATTTATATTACATATAGATAACAAGAAAAATAATTGTTTAAAGCCACTTAATACCAGAGTATTAATAAAATAGTGATAAAAATATTGATAAAACGGTTTGATATCAGAAATGTACGCCGTGAACTTTTCCTCAACTTAGTACAGAATTTGTCGGACTGATGATCATCAGTTCTTTGTTGATCAGAAATAAAAGCGACACATAGCATGACAAATGAAGTAACTGAAGCACCAAGTGTTTTTGTATGACAATGTCTATAAGCCATCCTTGGCAATTGTAACAAAATGTCGGGGTTTTAAGGCGCGGAGACACACGGTGTCAACGTTATTGTGTCGTCAGAGTTACCGCGAGCTACAAATATCCCGCGTTGTGTATTACCTTTGTGAAGAAGATAACATTGCCTTCATTAGAAACTTTCCTTGTAGCTAAAGTTACTGAAAATCAGACGTACACGAATTATAGCTCACACCATCCCTCATTTCAATACAATGTATTCTCTTCGGCAATGTCAATAGAACACTCATTAATTAAGGTCTGAAAGGAAAATTTGCATTGAAAAGTGTCGGTATCTGTACTGTGTAGGTGATAGTCTTTCCGCCGTCTAACATGTCCCAATTGTGTGGCTTATTTATCTTTGAAACCTTCTGTAGTCGCTGCAGATATCTGATATTCAATCCCACTAAAATGTACTCGATTAGCGTATCTAAATAAAACACACTACAAAGTTCAATACCCGTCGGTATTTTAACGCACCAACATCGAATGGTTGGACGTTTCAATTGCCTGGCGTCCGTGGTATGTCGTTTCGGATGAATATGAAGGGTTACCTTCGATCCCATGTCTATGGTGGCTGATTCGGGACATCGTAATATCGCTTCATTTAATGGGAGCGATATTGCGATATCACGATGCGATACCACGATAGCAAGAAGCGAGACCACGATAGCTCATGGTGTTATCGTGATATCGCATCGTGCTATCGTAATATCGCAATCTCGCTTCCCATTAAACGAAGCGATATTACGATGTCCCGAATCAGCCACCATACATGTCGCGCCGTTTCAAGAATTCAAGTAAACAGGCGGCCAATTGGAAGTTTGCTTCCCTTGTTTTGAGAAATACTAAATGGATCGTTCTTCAATTGGTTCCCCTTGACCGAAGTACTGCCCTTGTAATTTTATAGTCAAACTGAATAACAAGGCTGCAATAATTTTGTCATCTTAAATTTTGATGTGGATCTTGTTACTGATTTGGCCTAATGAACACTGTATATATCTTTATCAAATTTCACATATTGGTTTCCATTGGTCCCTAGTTGCGTCCTTTAAACTTGACGATTGAAAGGTAGCCATCTTGGAAATGAACGTTTTTAAGTTCTAACTTGATCCTTCTCAAATTTGAAATATAAGATTCCTTTGGTCCCTATTGGTACCTTACGTTTGTGTCTGATTAGAAAAACAATATGGCTGGCAGACGCCGCCACCGCCCCCCTCCTCGACCCTTCAAGAACTTCTTGACATAAAATCTAGATAAAAATAACAATCTGTTTTTGAAAGCCGTTCTCAGTGTTGATAATAAAAATGATTTATTTTGAAAAGATATACCTAGATTTTTGCAGCATTCTAACAACTGACATTGCCTTACCGTTGTCGAACACTCTTTCTATAGTTCGGATAAATTTCAAGTCTTTAACATAAAAAGTAACAGTAATAAAAAAACAAAAACAGAAACAAAAAACATGCTGATAACTTCTACTGCGATGAACGTTCCTTGAGAAACAATAAAACCTTTAGAAATGTGTTTTGCTGGGAGTGGTTTCATATTGTCTACGGAATTGATAATAAGGTATGTGATGTTAGACCAGAACATTTAGAATTAACTTCAATTTTATATTCTTATTGTCATATGCTGTATGTAAAACATGTTATACCATACTGCTGGTTTACATATGGAAATAGTGATAATATATAATTTATTGTCTTTCAGATAGATCCTGCTTTCTGCCTTGACTGTATATAGAAGATCACACATGTCGGAGACACTGATGAGAAACGTTTGAAAAGCGTCCATTTAACGTCGACCACGCGCTGCCCTTTTGATTACATGAAAATACGTTGATATGCTCTACAAGTGTGCCTATTCACATCTTTACCTCTTGTACCTGTGGTTATCGTTCTACTTGCACGTTGTGGTGTTGTCCGCTGGGGTCGGGGATACCGTGCGGAAACATTTGTCCAATGTCAGTGTTAGTAAGAATTTAAACCAATATGTTATGCAAAATTCATCAAGCGTCTTTCAGTTACACGAGTCACCTAAAAAGCGTATACACGAATGGACCAATAATGAGTTTTTCAGGAGGACAAAGTCAAATAAGAGATTGCAGTTGCTCAATGCGTTGGAATCGAACGTTCTTTTCGGCGTAGCCGACAAACGAAGTCCGCTCCATCAGCGAGTGTTTGTGTATGGTCACGACGACAGATTAGCAATCGACCCATCCCGTGTAAAACATTATCCTTACTTTAACATCGTACGACTTTTGGGCGGTGGTGTCGGCTGTACCGGAACGCTCCTCACGCCGACTTACGTCCTTACGGCCGCCCACTGTGTCCACAATGGCGACACTTTTAAACCGAAACTGGGATTGCTCAAAGTTTTTATACCGCATAGCCATGGAGATCTGGTGCGTTTTATCAGTAACATTAGCGTTCCGTCACAGTGGGGTAGGGCTGGTGCTAGTGCTAAACGTGCAAAGTATGATTATGCAGTCTTGCATCTAAATCTCGCCGTATATGGCCGCCATGATTTCATGCCTCTGCACGTGCCGAGCCAAAGACTTATAAATGAAGACCTGTACTTCCTCGGGTTTCATTACGACACGGCATCCATGGCTAAAACAAAATGTTCAGAATCTCTGAAACATCTCATGTACGGAAATAATGTCCTGTTGAGTCAGTGTGATTCCAGTGTTGGCAATTCTGGAGCGACACTCTTCTATGAGAACCCCCGTACGCGCGAGAGGAAAATCATAGGCTTGGTGTCCAACACGGCCGACTTAAGAAAATCAAACCGTTGGTACCGTGTGACCTATATCACCCTGCTCACCCCAGACAAGATCAAAGACATCTGTGACTTGGTATTTCCGGAGGGGATCGAGTACAATGTTTGTCCCCCGTTCACGTATCGAAAGCAATCACGTGATTCCATCATATGGTAGACATGTGACTCAGGATATGGTCACGGCCATCTGTGACATAAGCGTGCAGTGCATTCGTAGAAAGTTAGGTACTTTATAGTTAGTTTTTAGCAGTTGTTGTTCCTGATAAATGATAAATTCCTGACACTAGCTTCATTTTGACTTTTCAAACATTCCTTAAATAATCCTAGTCTGACAAGGATAAGGACCTGTAAAGTTGGAGGACAATAGGTGTTTTAGCAGTTTTTACTCAGAAACAAGAGGGCAATTTGTAATTGAACTAGCCAGGAAAACACTGGACAAAGACATATAAACACCATGGGGCCGCGTGTGCTTATAGAATATGATTAAAGAACACTGCTATCTTCACGTGCTTTATCGGGTTTATTTATCATTTAAAGATCACATTATGTTAACCATGGTTACTATTATAACTAGAGTGATAACTGGGATTAGTTACAACTGTAATCCTAAGGTCTAGCATTAATGAGGAGCGTGGGAATAATTTTTCGCCTCGTACGTCATACATAGAGGCTCTTACATAAGTGTTGATGTAGTGTCATTTACCGAACAGGTTCAACGATTTTATATGTCCCAAGTCAAAAGTGAACGACAGACATTGTCATCCTTCAGTTCATTTTCTGAAATAACGTTAATATCATAATAGGGAGGTTTATACTTGGAAGGCTGAGATCTTCCTTGAGATGTGTCACTAGACATAGCATCAGAAAGGCTGGCCTTCTTGTTTTCACTTCCTAAATTGTCTTGTGATCTCGAGGCACATCCACATGTCCGGTAAACGTTAAAAAGTTCAGTAATTTTACGCTGTGTTTAAAGGGCTAAATATTTCGTATCAAAACATGTACTTAAAAATAATGGCATATGTAGGAATCAGTGCTCGAACACCTCCCAACAATAGCAAGAAATTTATTGACCACGTCCATCGTATATCCCTACCAGAATTGGAAATAAAAGACACGACAGACTCTTCTACAACAGCTGCTTATTTCAATGTTTTCCTACAACAAAACCAACGTGAACAGCTTTCCATCAAGTTGTATGTTAAACATGATGACGTTAATTTCCCTATTGTGAATGTTTCATTTCTAGATAGCAACCTTCCTGCATCCCCAACCTGTGGTGTTTACATGTTGCAGTTTATCCGATATTCAATGGTCTGTTCACAATGTATCACAATTTGCATGCATGAGGACGTCAACTGACAGACAAACTCGTAACACAGGGTTTCAAAAGATGCAAGTATATGAACATTATGGAGACGTTTTACGGTCGTCACAGTGATATCATTGAGAAATATTCTATCTCTTTGAGCGACTTGAAGGTGGGCGTGTTTGATGCTCGTTACTTTGTCTGTTGGTTCCCTTGTTGTATACCTTGTTTTCATTTGAGAACGTGACATTATTTACTTGCATTGACCAAGAGTTATATGACGGGTGCTATCGATGAAACAGAAGACGCTTACTCTTCCTGAACACCTGATTTTATTCTCCTGATACTTTATCAAGAGTCTCTTGTCCCTTTAGTTCATATCTTGTCATAGTTTTATTGAATTTGAGTTTGGATTATATGCTGAAATGTTTGTATGTTTCTAACTCAAAAAGTATAAATCTATATTTTATTTTCAGTTATATTCCATCTGAGATAAAAACAGATCATTGTTTAGTTTAACTTCGGAAGACGACTCGCTCAGTGTATAGTTTGTTGTTGCGCAAACACATCAAATTGTATAGTATAGCGTTCAGCGTAGGCTTACATGGCACTTTAATTGTCCACTAATTTTCTAATAATCCTTCTTGCCTACACACGTTGTATAATAACGATAGCGATGATAGCGATCAACTGTCATGCTAAAGTCAACCTCCGACCGGAATGTCGAAAGTAGGCGTGGTATCTGTTGTCAAATCCGTCACATCCAACCCAAACTTATATACATCTGTCATACATATTTGACCGAGTACGTTATCTCCATGGTAAATTGCCATTTGTGTATCCCTGTTTCTTCGCATTTTTCAAACAGAGCCTTCCTTGTTTTAGTTTGGAAGGTGGCGGGGTATTTTTCAGATTGATTCACGAGGTGATGACTTTTTCATTTGTTTTTCTGTTTTGATGTTTTGTTTTTAATTTCGACAGGTTCCAAAAATACGTTCGCGAACTCTTTCATGATGATACATTGCTTTACAAGCTTATTTCCCTAGCCCTTCCCAAAGGATGTGCGGATGGTTGAATCTAAAGGGGTTGGCTCCGGGGAACTGTCCTTAAATGTTTCACAGCAGAAATTGGAAGGTCAGTATGGTTATGGTTTAATGAGGGAATTTTAACTCTCTCTTGGGAAAAGAATACATTTCAACATCGAAAAAAGATGATAAAACCAGCTTGAAGAACGAGGTTTAAAGCTTGGTGGAGAACTTGTGGAAAAAGCGATCGTGGTAGGGTTTTGCGCCCCGCAAATCCGAGTTCAGCAGACGGATCCTCAACATTTTGTTTCAAGTTGTCAAAATAAACAACATCCATAGCCTCAAGAAGATGTGCTAAGTCTGATAGAAAAAAGGGAGATTAATGTTTTTTGTTTTGCCAACTGTCAAAAAAGGTCATGATTGTCCAAAATTGATAGAACTGGGCGCTTCTTTTCAAGGAATGGAATGAAAATTTCCTTGGTCCATCAAAGAAACAGTTCACTAATAATACAGCTAATGTCTGTGGTTTCCATCATCCATGTTTCTGGAACATCATCTTTAATGTTCCCTTGAAAACGTCGTTGGTGGTGTTGCCCAAGATGCTGAAATCGCAATGAACAAAGTAAAATTCCCATTAACAGTAACCTGCGTTTAATAACATGTCTTGTGCTTTTTCGAGTGAAAACATTCTTGGGTGATGAAAGTATTCCTGAGAACCCGGATTCATCACACTTGGATGATGAAAGTCTTCCATAGAACCCGGATTCATCACATTTGGATGATGAAAGCCTTCCAGAGAACCCGGATTCTTCACATTTGGATAATGAAAGCCTTCCAGAGAACCCGGATTCTTCACATTTGGATGATGAAAGTCTTCCAGAAAACCCAGATTCATTACACTTGGATGATGAAAGCCTTCCAGAGAACTCCAGATTCATCACACGTGGATGATGAAAGCCTTCCAGAGAACTCCAGATTCATCACATTTGGATGATGAAAGTCTTCCAGAGAAGCCAGATTCATCACACGTGGATGATGAAAGCCTTCCAGAGAATCCAGATTTATGACACTTGGATGATGAAAGCCTTCCAGACAACCCGGATTCATCACACGTGGATGATAAAAGTCTTCCAGAGAACACAGATTCTTCACATTTGAATGATGAAAGTCTTCCAGAGAACCCGGATTCATCACATTTTAAATTTCTGCTTGGGTTTTTGTCGACGTCCTGTAAAGCTTTATCTAGCAAATCAAAGTATATATCGATATGATTCTGTGTCAGCGGTGACCGACATCCCTCCGAGTGTCATTTAAAAAAAATTGAAATTAATTTATCTGATAGACTTTCAAGTATGAGAATGAATGTTTGAGACTCTTTCCAATACACAATTTCCGCCATAATCTTTTTTATGGATTTTCTGTCTACAGGAAGGCCACAAATTACCATAAATGGATATAATCAATGATTGTGGACTCTTCTTCATCCGTTTAGGTTTCTTGAGAATACATGCTTTTTGGCTTGTCTGAACCTATCAATTTAAAAAATACTAAATCAGGACATTTGGATTTGTAATTTGCCTATTATTATATTTTCCTCTCGGATTGCAGAGATCAGCTTAATATTACAGTTAATAATCTTTTCGTGTATTTCATCAAAATTTTAAACCATAAACCATTGAAATTATCTATAAGATCTTTTAAAAATTGTCAAAATAATCTTAATGCCCCATTTTGCCTGACATTTCTAATTCTGATTTTTTAAATGTGAAATATGCTATATACACATATGACATTATTTTTCCTATAAAGGACATATTTTGCAATTAATGTTACACCTTTTTTTCAAAGAAATTGAGCCTTTAGGGAAACGAAGTTTTTTCCAAACTATTGTCTGTATCGTTGTAATTGGTTGTAATCACCTGCTCGAATTAGGATTATCGCCCTTGTGAGGGAGCTTTTTTGGTTAGAGTTAGTAAAGATCCAATACACCCAACAGTCAACATGCACGCTAAAGAAAGGAATTTGAGAAATGAGAACAAAATTTTTAAAAGTGTTCGAGCACTGGTCCTGTTCAAGCACTTGTCATGTTAGTCTACCATAGCGTGCTTCAATGTTAGACAAACTACCTCCGGAAACCCCACCATATCACGGCATACTACCCATAAAGAATCTACCGTAGGGCAACTGCTCATATAGACACCATATCTACAGAAACTCTAGCATAACGCTGCTGATAACCTGTTAATGTGGACACAGTTTTCACCAAATTTCTACCGTAAGATAGGCTTGTATATCTTAACCAGTGATATTCTACCAAAGCATGACTTCTACATTCAGCACCTATCCACGAAGATCTACCCTAGCGGCCAGCTACGATCTATTGGCACCCTCCAAGATGTTATCATACCATAGCGTGACTTCTACATTCAGCATCTATCCACATGGATCTACTTTTTAGCGGCCTGCTACTATAAACACCCTACCCTATGATATCCTACCATAGCGTGACTTCTACAACCTGCACCCTATCCTCACAGATTTACCTTAGCGGCCTGCTAAGATAGACACCCAATAATATCCTACCATAGCACGATTCCTGCAATCGGCACCCTGTTCACACAGATCTACTTTTTAGCGGCCTGCTAAGATAGACACCCAATGATATCCTACCATAGCACGATTCCTGCAATCGGCACCCTGTTCACACAGATTTACTTTTTAGCGGCCTGCTAAGATAGAAACCCAATGATATCCTACCATAGCGTGACTTCTACAATCGCCACGACTGTCAACACTGCGGATGTTTAGTGGTGCACTCCTTCTACT